GCGGGACAGCACGGGCGCACCGAGGCGGGTGGAGGCACCCGGTCGCGGCACTCCACCGGCCGGCCGGCGACACGGTCGGCGTCCTCAGCCAAATCCACCCAGACCACCCTACCCGGGGGTCCAGGGGACGGCAAGGAGGGGGAGGCGGGGAGAGGGGGTGGCGGGGCCATCAGCGGCCGGGGCCAGGAGGGCAGGCGGCGCCGGTGGGAGCAGGGCGGGCGCGTCGCCCCGCGGGGCGGAGCTGGAGTCGCCAGAGCCCGAGCCTTCCATCCGTTCGATCGGACATCAGCACTATTTGTTAAAGTGAGATATAGATCATCATGGGCTATTGACAATGTCCTCTTTTGCTTGTCCAATTTTATCGTGGAGAATTTGTCTCGCGAAGAGTTCTGTTTAGCCTGTAGTAGGCTCATTGTGAGTCTCAGCACGTAGCGAGGTCGAAGAATAAGTTTTTAACACACGGCAGACTTTTGGTGTTGGAGTTGGTGGTGCTACTTTAGGCAAAAAGGCCCACGTCTGATTTGCTTTCTTTTTTTCATATACTAGATGACCCGTTGCGTCAATGACACAAAGGGCAAGAGCAAGCCAAGTATTGAAAGAGTAAACATAAAAATATTTAGAGACGGATTGAAACATATGGAAATAAAAAATTGTTACTGGCAATGCCATGATTTTCTCTAACCAGTGTAAACATATATAAATAGTCTTTTGAAAATATTAGTAAAACGGCAGTTTTTTTTTGCGGGTGAGAATGGCAGTTGATTACATATATAGAACAAGTGATCACAAGCTTGGCAGTAATGAGGCCTAAAGTGTACATGCAGTATCATACACAAATGGAAATCTAAAGGCTATACATATCTTGCTTAGAGCAACGCCAAAAGGGCAAAGATACTGGATCGTTGATACGAAACAAAAGATGGCTATGTTGGTTACCATACTATCTTGTGTAGTCTTCAACCTTTAGTCAGCTTAGCATAATGATCGTTCAGTTTTATTGCTACTGCTTTCTTCGTGTCAAATATATATTCCTCCAACTATGAGATTGTGCAACTCCCGGACACCGGAGGAATGCCTTCTGTGCTATCAAAGGTCACAACGTAACTGGGTGATTACAAAGATGCTCTACAGGTATCTCCGAAGGTGTTTGTTGGGTTGCATAGATCGAGATTAGGATTTGTCACTTCGAGTATCAGAGATGTATCTCTGGGCCCTCTCGGTAATGCACATCATATGAAGCCTTACAAGCAATGTGAATAATGAGTTATTTACGTGATGATGCACTACGAAACGAGTAAAGAGACTTGCTGGTAACGAGATTGAACTAGGTATGAAGATACCGACGATCGAATCTCGGGCAAGTGACATACCGATGACAAAGGGATAACATATGTTGACATTGTGGTTCGACCGATAAAGATCTTCGTAGAATATGTGGGAACCAATATGAGCATCTAGGTTCCGCTATTGGTTATTGACCAGAGAGGTGTCTCGGTCATGTCTACATAGTTCTCAAACCCTTAAGGTCCGCACGCTTAACATTCAATGACAATATGTATTATATGAGTTATGTGTTTTGGTGATTGAAGGTTGTTCGGAGTCCCGGATGAGATCACGGACATAACGAGGAGTCTCGAAATGGTCAAGAGGTAAATATTGATATATTGGAATGTTATATTCGGACACCGGAATAGTTTCGGATAGTTTCGGGGATTTTTCGGAGTACCGAGGGGTTACCGTAACCCCCCTCCCCCCCCCCGGGAAAGTTAATGGGCCTCATGGGCCATAGAGGAGAGGAGGAGGCAGGACACAGGAGGTGGAGCCCCCCTATGGGAGTCCGAATTGGACTAGGGGAGGCCCCCCTTTCCTTCTCCCCCCCTCTCTCTCTCCCTTCCCCCTTTTCCCCCTCCGAAAGGGAAGGGGGGTCCGAATTGGACTGGAAGTCCTAGTAGGACTCCCCCCTTGGGGGCGCGCCCTAGGCCGTCCCTCTCCCCTCTCCCTCCTTTATATACGGGGGCAGGGGCACCCCAAAGCACAATATTTGTTTCTTAGCCGTGTGTGGTGCCCCCCTCCACCGTTCATTCCTCCGGTCATATTGTCGTGGTACTTAGGCGAAGCCCTGCGCAGTTCACATCACCAACACCGTCTCCACGCTGTCGTGCTAACGGAACTCATCGACTCCTTCGTACCTCTGCTGGATCAAGAGTTCGAGGGATGTCATTGAGCTGAACGTGTGCAGAACTCGGAGGTGTCGTACGTTCGGTACTTGATCGGTTTATTCGAGAAGATGTTCGACTACATCAACCGTGTTAAGTTAACGCTTCCGCTTTCGGTCTACGAGGGTACGTGGACACACTCTCCCCCTCTCGTTGTCATGCATCTTCTAGATAGATTTTGCGTGAGCGTAGGAATTTTTTTGAAATTGCATGCTACATTTCCCAACAAATGATATGAGTGAATTGTGTATAGGTGATACTGACTTGAGAAAATCCATAATGAACTCCTTTGATCATATATGTCAAGATATAAATGGAAAAGATATGCTTCTTGTTGTTATTTCACCTTTCTTAGTCATGTCATTTGGGGGGGGGGGGGGCTACGATCCACACACATAATTTCCTTGGGGACTAAAACTTGTGTATTAACTTACCTCCTATATATACATTGTCATCGACATCAAAAAATATGCTTAAAGGCATGATTGCACTTTCAGCCGGTTAGGCTATGCACCTCGCTAGCTCAGCATACAACAATGTGCATGGTCGTTGCATGCCCTAGGTTGCTAGTCTGCATCGCCTAGCGCAACTCCTGCCGCCGCCACCATTGACAGAATCAAACTGATCTGTTGCACAACACATCTCGTCGAGAGCGCCTGCTTCGCATGGCTTTTAGCTTGCCGACAACTTCTTAACTATGTGCCAACCTAGCTCATGATACCACCTGTTAGAATAATTCAGTGTGCATGTCGATCAGTCGAGGGCAAGCAATCACACAAGCACAAGCATGACAACCAAATTTGTTAACGAGTTCAGCAACATGTACCAAATCACATGATACATTGGACGACAAGCACGCCTAGACATCAAGACAACACTCCGACCACCCGCCGCGGCCAGTTCGGCCACCCCTGCCACGAGCGCCCCGGACCGTCCCTCTCATGATCTATGTCTAGCCTGCCAACTTATGTCAAATTTATTTGGCTACCGGTGATGCCCTCATATAATAGGCTCGGGTTACATATGTCCGACTCAAACACCTAATCCGCAAGTAATTGGAAGTCCAATTGTAGCACAACTTTACACATAATATTGGCATTTTTTTTAACAAAAAGCATTGTTGTTAATGAACTTCGTGTCTTTGTGGTGTCAAGAGATAGTTGGTGCAGAGATTATCATTATTGTAGTTTGCCGGTCGATGTTTTGACCATTTTTTCCTCTCTTAGGTATAGTTTTAATCTTCTATGACTTTGCTGATTACCAGGATGTTTTTGTATATGTTGGTTGTGTGCATATGAGTTATGCAGAGATCGGGTGTGTGTCCATTATGTCCGTATCCATTTGATGATTCATTTTGAGTCAATAAAATTCACTCTTTCAAATCCTACAAGATTTAAGTTTTTTATTTGATCACATAAAAACAAAGGTTCTTTTTCAAAAAAATTGAGTCGATGCTAGATACCCAATGGAATGTAGTACAAATTATTCTTTAGGAAAAAAATCCTAAAGGATTCAATCCTACTAATCAAACGGCCTACATAGAAAAATTCCTAATGATTCTAATCTCTACCTAATAATAAAGAGACTACCACTTCATAGTTCATCTAAATATTACCCCCGAAGTTGCTATAAATTACCCACTATGCTACTCATAAGTGTAGAAAACAATTCGACTTTTTTTCCAAAGTCGCCTTGAGCTTTGAGTCTTATATAGTGTTACCCTCATATATCAGAGTGATGTAGCGGCCAAGACCTCGGTGTTTTAGGCCGGAGACCCGGGTTGGATCCAAATCCACCCTTTTTTCTCTTCTTTTCTTTCTTTTTTCCCTTTCTTAAGGCAAGCGGACCTCCTCCTCCCGCGTATGCATATGGGCCGGCCCATGTGTGAGAGGCGTGATGCCCCCTATTTTTTATTTCTTTTTTTCCTTTCTTTCTTTCTTATTTTTTGATTTTCCTTCTTTAAATTAATTCGAGATTTTCAAAAATTCCAAAATTTAAAAAGTTGTGAGTTTTAGATTTTTTTGAGAAATCATAAAATGTTCTTGAAATTCAGAGATGTGTATTCAAAACATATTCTGGAATTTGGAAATAATGTCAATTAAATTTTAGAAAATGTTCATAAAAATTCAAACAAACCCGTAAATAATAAACAAAAGAAACCATCGCTTACATAGAGTTGTTTTAGGGAATCTTTAGAGGTCATTTTATTTTTTTAGTAGTCTATCGCGCGTCATGTATAAATTTTTTTTTTGTCGTCTACATAGCGCTGGGCCCCAAAAAAATTGACACAACTTCCTGTGGGTTAGTTTTTGTAAGCTATATGAAAATGACTAAATGTCTAATTTGCCTACATAGCTATATTTATTTTGGTACTATAGTTTTACTGGTCATGGAAAACGCCGCGATGCCAGGTCAAGGCGAGACACATCATTCATCAGTCTAGTTCAAGCAAGGTCCATCAATGTAGTTTGCTCAGCCAAAAAAAACGTTGTGGTGCCTTAGGAAATCAAGTCACGATGACACCATCACATTTCAGTTTTTGAAATGACTTTTTAGAAGTCCCTTATCTCATAATGACATTACTCAGATGTAGTTTAAGAAATGACATTTTAAAAGTCCTTATCTCATCCTGATATAATCTGCATAATCTGATTGTTTTTCTCCCGTTGCAACGCACGGGCATATTTGCTAGTCCTATGAAAATCCGTTGAATCAAAGAGGGTCTTAATTTGATAGGAAAATCCCTAATTCCAACTGCAACAGAGGAAAGGCGCCGCTCAGACTTCACATTGCAAAGGCGCTACCCGCGATGTTCTTTGTCGAGGGCATACCGGCATTAACATCTCCTTCAATGCCACATTCATTCGTGCCCCTTATGACCTTGAAGTACCCATCCTACAATGAATCAGAAACCAAAACTTGTTAATTAGCCAAACACATGATCCTACCATTCACTCTTGCACTTCAACAATACAGGGTATATGTCACACTCACATCGCCCCATCCTCTGTTCCACTGATTTGCAAGAAGCTGAGAAGCAGAAGACAAAATGAAACACGTCAAGACTTGATCATTGTTTGATAAATAGTGTAAGGTAGAGAATTAACAAGATACCCAGTAATCCTCGCCAGCATCACTTGTTCCCCATCCAATCAATTTGGCGGCATGACCTCCCACCATCCTACCTGTGATTTGCTTGTAAACACCTGACTTGTAGTGTGCAAAGTCCTGCAGCAAATTGCTGTATTAAATCAGCACTGAAAGTAACAAATATCTTCTTCACCTTTGATGACAGAATCTGTACTTCTGTAGTCTTATATACAATCATAAAGCATATGAGTTGTTGGCCGCATGCAAGGCTTCAAAGATAATAATTGTATTTCATATTTCAGTATGCTAACAAGAGTATGTATGTTTTTGTTTCCATTTCTCCTACTGCCATGTTCTTTCCACGGTTTTATTCAGATTTAAAGCTTTTCAAAGTTTTGTTTATATTATGTTTGTACATTTCAAAGTAATAGCAGAAATTTCGACTCATTTTGAGAGCCTTGGCAGAACACATGTCAAACATCAAATACTGAATCGAAGTTACCTCATAAATTATGAAAGAAACTTCTACAGGGCCATTCTTGTAGACCTCTGCCATGATGTCATGTGGATCAGAGTTTACTTGGTATGCATCGATGCTGAAATGTTTCTTTTCCTCCCAAACTTGGTTCTGAACCTTGCATTTCTTTTCACACACAGGTGTAGGATAAGCAGGTTCGCATCCAGGATGCTGGCAGCCAACCTGATCAAAGAATGGATCGCACTGCAAGACAGTAATATGTACAAGGATGAGTGGTATGCTCAGCTGAGTCTTTTTTACAAGAAACATTAGGGGAGAGCCTAGTTAAATAAAAATACAATAAAATGATATGAAAGCAATACATAGTGAGGAACAGAAAGAAAAAATGCAAAAAAATCTAGCCAGATAAAGGCGTGCAGATAGTTTCAGGCTTTCAGCTAGGCTTTCTGTGTTTTCCAGAAGATCTTTCTTGAAGATCATGAAGAAATATTTATAATGATTCTTGTACTTCATGTTGTTAGAATAAATCCAAGGCGCTCCGTCGATCTACCTAGGACCAAGCAATCACACGAGGCACAACACCGAGATTTGTTAACAAGGTTCACCGATATGGCTACATCCCCGGGGCCTGACTACGGGCGCTCCTCCCCGTGACACCGTCACAATACCGCACTCCGGCCGCCCGGGCGCTGGCACACGCCGCCGGCTCCCCCGCGTGCCCGTGCTATTATGTTACGCAATCCCGGGTCCGCTACACCAGCGTTTCCGACCCACATGCGTCACCAGGCCCAACCAGAGAGCAACACCGACTTATGAGAGGCCTTGGGCCCTCTTCCCCCAAAAGACTAGCCTGTTAGGAGCCTGTTAGGAGGGGACACCCCTGCCCTTATAAATCGTGTTATGTCTACCCCCACAACCGATGTGGGACTAAACCCAACACATGTTGTATATGCGACAGCGAATTTTCCAAAACTTGAAACAGAGCAATTTGTAGTGTAGTGTTGTGCCTGAACAAAGTTGGGATGAATTTGCAAATAGTCAGGACACACTAAGATTACAATATGCTCCTACTATTCCCTGATTTTCGGGTTCAAATATACAGTGTTACCATATCATTTAGCGCCAAATGATACAATCAATATCTGAGCTGTTAAAAAAATGTATTCACAAACCAATCAATTTCATTTACGGATCGAAATATTACTGATAATTAATATACTATCCAACTTCCATTATATTGATATTACAGATTCAGTAATACCCACTGTTGTAGTTAGAACTTAGAACAGAGAGAAGTGATTCATAATAACAGGATCAAAATAGTATCAGGACACTGAAGTGGTAGAAAATAGAGAGTTAGCTATACCTCGTCAGTAACAACACCGTTCTCGACGAAGTATTGCCATGCGAAGATAGGATATCCTCCCTCACAACCATCGCCACACAGAAACCCACAGCAAGCCACTATGTCATTGACAGAAAGTGAAACGTTCTGCAAGGAATAAAACCAGCAGGCTGGTTATTGTAAGAAAAGGACCAAACAGGCCTGTTTAAAAACGGACCCGAGAGTAGACGGATCGTCCATATGCACTCACCACGCCGTGATGAATGCAGAAACGATCTTGCAGGCACTCCACAGCACCAAAGGCCCAACACGCACCACAGTGACCCTGCCATTGTCAACCAATACATACTACCTTGATCATCTTCAATTTTCCAGCAAGCACTCGTGGTGGTAACGACATAAGGTAATGTGCATAGACTTACTTGATCTGCTCATGAAAATCAGCGTTTTCCAAGGTATTGGAGAAAAACAACGATTAAATGAAGTTGGTCAGTGCAATTAAAACGGCATAGAACCGGTTTATGATCATGGAGTTATCTAGTAGTTGAGCTTACCAAGTATTTTCCCGATCGTGCTGCAGCCAGACCATTTAGATCTGGCGTCGAACTCCTTTGGGAGATCCTCCTTTTCTGATGTAGAATAAGTTTTGGTTGGAACACCAGCCAGTAAACCTGGAGGCGTTGGCTTCACTCCCAGGATATGCTTAAATTGCTCAATCTGCACGGAAGAGGATGATTCCGAGGTCAGCAAACAGAGAAGAAAAAAATGGTGCCTCGATGGAAACACAAGATGAACAGAGTGTTCTATGTACAGTATAGTTTGCGAGGTAGGGATTGTGTCCAGCCGTCCACCCGGCATTGGGATGCTTGTTGACCGTCTGAATGATGTCCTTCTGCGACAGTACAATACAACACCATATCATGAAGAGCAATACAAACAATAGATTTAGAGATGGTGTCAATCTGAGTGGGACTAAAAGTCACCTGGATGATTCCTAGGGAATGCTCTGCCTTGGCTGCTCCCGCTAGCTGCATGTACATAGAGATTTTAAGCAAATATATATGTGATTCAGCTAACCGAGTAACACCCTGACCCTATCTATTCGGTGTTAGGATCGGGTTTTCGTTCTTAGCAATTTTTGTTGTCCGTGGATGGCAAGTTTAGTGGGTAAGCATGACAAATCCGTTCAGTTCAATTATTTTTTGGCCAGGTTTTGCCGTGCTTGCTAACTAATTTTGTCATCATCGCGGCTACTAAAATTGCCATAAAAAACATTTGTTCTGCCACGCCTTCCTGGGAAGGTCAGCACGATAACACTAAAAAAAACAGAATTTTGTTTCAGAGCTATTCGACTTTCAGTGTTTGGCATCAGCTTATCAGAGAAAAGGCCCTCGGTTGGCTCGCCATCGAGTCGAGCTCCACCAGCACGGGCGAGGACGGTCGGGACCCATTAAGCTTGCAATCCTCAAAGTTTCCCTAAACGGAAAGCCGTACCCTGCTAAATTGCTAATCTCCGCAAGTTTGGTAACGAACCTGTGATAGTACAACACCATTATGATTATGATTATTAGTACAAACAATAGAAGATGAGTAGGAGTAGACATAAATATGGTGTCAATTTGAGGGGGATAAAAAATGACCTGTATTATTGGTAGGGAATGGTCTCCCCTCGCAGCTCCGACGAGCTGCAGGTACAAACACATGTTAAAGCAAACATGGATGTGATTCAGCCAACTGCGTAACATCATGACTGATTCCTTAATGCTAGTAGGGGTGGGCACATTTTATCCCAAGCAGAGAAAAACATGGGATGAAGGGATCGAACATTCGTTCCAAGCTATTCGTTTTTCAGTATCAGTCTATCAGAGGACGGGCTCGCCATCTAGCTGCAACACGGCGCGGGAGGCCCGAGGCCCCTCCATCAGGTCCGGGGTGGTGGATTCGTTCGCGCTTCGCGGAGGACAGGTCGTCACCCACTAAGCTTCCGAGGTTCGCTGCGCTCGACTACTACTACCAAATCTGCAGCAGAGGTGGGATCTCGTTCAGATAAGACGAGAAGAACCGAACCTGGGGGGCAGCGGCGGCGGCAGAGAGGAGGACGAGCAGCGCCAGCGGGAGTAGCCTCCCCATCTCCTTCGACCGGCGACAGGGGGGAAGCAAGCAGCAGGAGTAGCTGCAGCTGGCGGACTTGCTTCTCCTCCTCCCCCACACCGCCCTTTAAACAGGGGAGTAGCTGTAGGCTGTCGCAGGGGACTGGAGCTAAGCTGCAAAAATGGTTTCCGGGGGACGGTGATGCGGGCGCAGGTGCTGCGATACGCCTGTCGGCCCCCTTTTCTGCCTTCAGATCGGCACCACGCGACGGCGTGCGTGCTGCCACGCCAGAGCCAGCAACCGTTTTAAAACGTACGTACTTGTATACTATCGGCTTGATTCGCCCATGCGTCGCGGCCTTCTTCTCGCGGGAATCCTTTTGGAAATGGGCAGTACTAGTCGACGCGCAGCCGCCCGATGCACGCGCCCTGGACCACACGATTGCCTCGCGCACGTCCCTCTCTTCTCGCGAGAAACGCCAGCCCTTTCTTCTCGCGAGAAACGCCAGCCGCACACATTCCCTACTAGCTCGTGGTTCCCCCGCGGCCTTTCGCCTCTGGCTCGATGGCGCCTCTCGTCGGCTCGCAGCCACTGCACGGCAGCGCAGCCCGCCGGACCCCCTCGCCGGCTTGATGGTCGCATCGCTCGTGCCCCGCGTGTGTCTGTCCCCATGTAGCAAAACACGCCGTCGGTTCCAGCAAAAAAGCCTGCAGGTTGAAACATCCTCGCTAGTTCGTTGCTCCTACCGTAGCCGTCGCCGTAACCGGTTCCAGCAAAATTTGGCGCCGATTCCAACAAAATTGTGCACCGGTTCCAGGTTTTGCCAATTTCGTAGCTCCCCTGGCACATCTCGCACGAGGGAAGAAAAGCGGCCGTCAGGGCCGTGCTATGGAATCAACCAGCTCCAGCAAAATACTTCGATGGTTCCAGCAAAAAAGAGGAATCTAACAAAAAAATCAAAAAGAAAGAGTGGTAGCAAAAATCAAATACGGTAGCAGCAAAAACAAAGGGCGGTGGTAGCAAAAATTTGAAACTCGTTTCAGCCAAAATCAAAGACGGGCGGTAGCAAAAATCTGAAAGATTGTAGTAGCAAAATCATATATGGTAGTAGCAAAAATCATAGATGGTAGCAGCAAAACTTAGAGCTGGTTCCAGCAAGAAGCACCCCCAATTACAAATCCTTGCAAAAAAAATCACTAATTCGAGCAAAACAAAAACCTAGTTGTAGCAAAAATTGCAGCCGATGGCAGCTCTCGTCGAATCCGGGTGAAGCACCGCTCTTTGCCGGTGGTGGCACTCCGCCTCGCCGGTTCCAGCATGCCCCCGCAACTCGGCACGCCGGTCCTAGCTCCAGGCACGACGCGGTTGTAGCACTCGGCACCTCGAGTCGCCGTTATCGCCCCGCATCACACCTCGTGCTGGTGTCTCCATTGGCTCGGGCCAGCTGCCGTCGGGGTCCTCCGCACCAGATTCGCCACCAAAAACCGCCGGCCAAAAACACAGCACCTCCCTTCCCCAGGACTCCTCGCAGCAGCGCCTTCCTCCTCTCGACTTACAGCGGCGATTGGTGGCCGTTGTGTGCAGCGGTGGCTGTGATTTGTGAGGAAGATAGGGGAAGTTGCGATGTCCTGGTCAAATCGATGAGAGAAAGGGGAACAACGACACGTGATGAGGTATGTGGCAAGAGAAGAGCACCCGTGGGCCCAGTACATGCGCACTAGCGACCGGCGGAACAGGTAGCCGGTCGACCGGCTGCGAATGTTTACCTTTGGAAATTTAGTAGTACTCCATTAAACCATTACTGAATATGGAGTAGTAGCTGCAACTGTGCAGATCTTTATTGTTTTTGCCAAGACATTTGTTAGAGCATGGAACACGAGTAGACAGGATGGCAGATCGGCACATGCACAAATTTTTTTATGGGCATTATAAAACCGGATAAGAGTAGCCATCGTAGATCTCAAGATCTGTCCATTCTTTTATGGCATCTACAGCAAGACGCTAAATCTGGTCCCTCAAACGCTGATGTGTCTGGAGTTATCCTCAAATGGTGACTCGGCAAGCCCTTAAATTTTCTGGCGAGAATATCATACAAAAAGCTGACATTCGGTGGAAACCGGTGAAAACCACGTGAAAATGATATTTAAAGTTTCAAAAAGAAAAATCTCAAAATGATATAGGATGTTAAGAGGGTGATGTTTCTATTGGCATGCAAAATATTAAGTTTAAACACATTACGGGATGTGAGTTATGAAAACGACAAAATTAACGTTGAATAGCGTCAACAGTAACATCGCTATTCATTGCTGAATTTCTCTTTTTCATAGCTCGCATCGCGTTTTGTCCGATGAAATACCCATGCTTCAATTTTTTGTCCCTTCTTTTTTGAAGCACTGTATTTGGATACGAGCACTATAAGTCGTCCAATGGCTCATCAGACGAGGATTACACAGATGAGACAGTGATGATGCTGGCGGTCCTTGCGGACGTGGAATGTGCGAAAGAGCATGTTCTCAATTTCAAGGGACCGATCAAGGGTCGTCGAGTGCTCAACCGCAACAGGGTGCGCGACCATTTGACCTTGATGGATGACTACTTTGCCCCCGATGCCCTCTCCGCTGACAGTTTTCGTCGGCGCTTTCGGATGCGCAAAAATGTCTTTGGTCGTCTCTACCATGGCCTCTGATCCTCTGATGACTACTTCATCTTGAAGAAGGACGCCTTGGCAAGGATTGGGTTCTCTAGTTACCAGAATTGCACGGGCGCACTGCGGATGCTTGCATATGGCACGGCCGCTGATTCGTGGAACGAGTACCTACGGATGCCTGATAGTACATGTGAAGGTGTCATGCTCAGGTTTGCAACTGTCATGGTCTCGGTGTTTGGATATCAGTAGTACCTAAGAGAACCAACTATGGCAGAGACCGAGAGGATCTTGGCAATCTTGGAAGCAAGGGGGTGGCCAGGTTTGTTCGGATCTCTTGACTGCATGCATTGGAAAATGGAAGAAATGCCCAAAAGTTTTACAAGGGCAATATGAGAGTCATATTAAGAAGCCCACCATCATTCTTGAAGCAAGTGCATCACAATATCTTTGGATTTGGCATGCTTTTTTGGCATGTCCGGTGTCTCACAATGACATCAATGTGCTGCAGCGTTAACGTTCATCATTGTTTGCTAGGTTGACTGAAAGAAAAGTTCCTCCTTGCCACTATACCATCAATGGTCATGAGTACAACATGGGCAACTATCTGGTTGACGGTATCTATCTTCCGTTGCTACTTTTGTCAACACCATCTCTGTTGGAAATATGAGCAATTTACCGAATGATTTTATTAACAAAAATACTAGATAAAGCATGACTAAAATAGAAAATATAAAGCAAGTCATGCAATCTGACAGAGAGAAGGTAAACATCATATGCATATATGAACATGAGGTAAACACATCTAGAACAGACACTAGATGAAGTTGCTTATAAGAAACAGAACCTAACATACGTAGGGCAGAAACTAGAGCCAAGAACTGTAGGAGGACTTCTAACAGAAAGGAGAAGAACACGTACGGCACAGCAGCAGCAGAAGCGCTGGACTTGAGGTCGGTGTCCTTGCCTGCCATGTCGTCGAGGAGGTCGTGGACGTCGGGGAAGAAGTCGTCGTCGGGGAAGTAGTCGTCGGCGACCGGATCGTCCGTGATGAAGTAGCCAGTAGTCGCGCTGAGCGCTCCCCAAAAACCTTATCACCCTTCTCCCGTACAAGACTCAAAAGGTGCGGTCTCGGAGGCCTACTGTCCCGATGTGCGGTGCACGCTGCAAGCCGGGATGAGGAAGACAGTAGTAGCGCAGAGATTGGAACTGTGTGGCGAGAGGAAGAGGATCTTCTGATGTGTCTCTCGAGAGAGGAGTGACCTCTCTTATATAGGCACAACAGAGGGACGCGAGCAGGCTGCGCCGGGAGGTGAAGCAACGAAGGGAGACGAAGTGAATAGGCAGCACGCGAAGAGGTGCGCCGTTCGTATTCATTATCCACTACCGCAAAAACTTTTCAGCTCCCAGGTGACCTTTCGTATACCCGTAGTGCGTGGCAAAAATTAGACATCGGCTCGGCTCATTCCCGCGGCGCGGCGCGGCGCGGTGCGTCGTGACGAGGCGTGGCGTGGCGTGGCGAGGCGGGCGGAGGAGGAGGAGCGCGCGTGGATGTCCCTCTTGTTCTCATGCTCATACAAGTGGGGAAGGAGCCTCCCTTATAAAGAGGTCCAACTCCCTCTAAACTAGCAAGGTGGGACTAAACTTTTAGTTCTACCTCTTGCCTTGCACGAATGGGCTGCGTGGGCCTCTAGGATTTATTAGGAATTTCTGAAAATGCTATTGGGCTAGGCCCAAATAGGCAAAAATTCCAGCAATCCCCCACCAGATCCCAGAGGCACACAAAATTTGTCTTTGGTTCCAAAACATTGTTTTATATACCGGTACTGCAGTGGAGACTATTAAGTTGAACTTCCACCTAGAACCCTATGCTACACTAGTAAGCAACTTGAAGAGTGGACTGGGCCTTGAACTACAAGTTTTCTGCGAATCTAATTTCACATAAAGCCTTGACCGATACGTGGCTACCGTGGGTCTTCCCCGCAGGTGGAGCTTATGCGTCATACTCCGTGACCTTTCATGAGTTTACTAGAGAGAATCCTACTCTCATAGATTGCGAGGTTTAACAATCAGACTCATATAGGTGCGTTTTTCAAAAGATGTTCTGCAGGACAACATCTCTGCTTCAAAAAGCCACTTAGAACACATTAAGATATACATCAACCTGCCATGCATATTAGGAGAATATTGCATCTTCATGGAGTGGTATTTTAACAGTAAGGATACTCTCCTCTCAGTTGACCAACAGCTTGTCTTCCACATCTAATTCACGTGATCTCCAATCACAAAGAATAGGTTACCACTGTGAACAACTCATATTGTGGGTCTCATTCCCATCTCCCTCGATGCATTATCTATCACATTACGTGATAAACCCTTAGTAAAAGGATCTGCC